TCGTCAAGGTTAGGAGGACAAGGTCACTTTGAATTTTTTTAATAGAACTCCCCATTTTTTATTACATATTGTAGCACACCTCGAAAGCTTTCCAAGACGCTATAATAAAGTTATTTTTCAATAAATACTTTTCAAGTTATAAAGCTTGAAAGTTACCGTCGACATTGGCATTATCCAAGGTGTCCAATAAACGGACAGCTCGAGCAGTATCTTGAGCATAGCATACCTCGAGAGCTTTCCAAAACACTATTTCATTAAATATCTTTTAAATTAAAAGGCTTCAAAGTTACAATATTGTTGGCATTAGCATTGGTACCCAAGGTGTTCGACCGACGGCTAAAACTTTTTGAATGTTGTTCGTGGCCATCATCTTGACAACATTTGTCAAGGTCAAGACGATTGGAGATTGTTCCTCATATTTTTATTATTTCAATTTTTACTATAAAAATGAAAATAATAAAAGAATAGGGTATTATGTGCGGCTCGATTAATCCCAAAAAATCATATGAAGGTCACGTGACAGATGTTTTTATTTTGTAATTTAAAAAGACTACGTTATTGTAGTTATGTTATCAAAATAAAAAAATACGCAAACACGAGAATGTATTTTATTTTATTTTTAAAAGTATTCGAAAACTTATGAACGGTAATACCATATATATTATATTTAATGTACACATTTAATGTACACGTGTATTATAGAATAAATCCAACAATGTAAAAATGAGATCATTGACAAATCATGCATATACGCTTATACTTTTTTATTATACACAGAAAGTTAAATAAAGCATATATAGTTAGACAAAATAAAAAAATCCATTTTTAAATATTATCCAAATTAATTTTATTTAGGACCGCAAATTTTTTTTCTAGGGGAGAGTTGCCGAATACGTACCACTTAAGATATTTTTGGTTATATTTCACATTTGATACTATTTAGAATGCAAACAAACGTTGAAAATTGTAGCTTGATGTTCAAGGCATCAAATATTACATGTTAAATCTTT